CCTGTTGTGATTATCACAACGATGGCGTGCCCTGAACATATCCCATCCGCATCTATCACCCATCGGCCGTCTGCACGATGCGTGTTGCACGCGGCACTCCTGGCACTTTGCCGTTTCTTGTTATTGGCGCTTTCGAACAGATTAAGACTAAGATTAGTGTTTTTTGTTTTGCAATTTTTTTAAAAGATTAACTCCCGATGCGGATGATAATTGAGGCGCTGCTCATGCTTCAAAGTCTGAATCAGATTATGACGAGGCTAGATTTGAAGCGCAACCTAAACCCTAATCAAAATGCAAATAAACGTAAATTGGTCAGAAACCCACCCGTGTGAGTTTTTGCCATTCGGTGCGATCCCGGCCCAAAGCCATAAAAAGGCTTTGGATCAACAAGCAGAACGCTAAGGCCGTTATTAGTCTTATGTTTGGTGAGAATGCGCGGCTTTCGAGGGGGACTGCAGAGACAATGTAGTTGTTCTTCAGTTCTAGCACTCGCCATCATCTGACAATGAGTTCGTAGCTTGAACAACGCCTCAACTCTCATCCGCATCAGGAGTTTGCGTTTTAATGTATTCGGAGCGCAAACTACAAGACTTGCAAAGTGCCAGGAGCGTCGAGCGCAACATGCGCCGCGCAGACGGCCGACAAATGATGGATGGGATTGCGATATGCTGGCAGCATGCAGCATGCCTGCGCGGCAAGTTGCATTTTAGGCGGTGGAATTATCTATCCCACAATCCTGGATTCCCATCCCTGCGCATGGCCAGACGGAAAAACCGCTACGCTTGGACAGCTTGGGGCCCGTTAGCCCCGGACATGCCAAAGAGTAGCTGGCAGCTGAGCGTGCGTTGTGCTCTTAAGAGCACACTCCTTAATCCCAGCTAAGAGGAGATCTTCAGAAGAACCTGCCAAGTATATGACGAAAATCCTCTGAAAAACCTTCGTGGCAGTGCTCGGCTCCCATCTCATTTAAGGGGCTGTATTTGGGGTCACGAAAGATACTTAATGGTATAGCTGGAACTTATAACCGCATATTTCGGTGAAGTGTTGCTCAAAGGTTAGCTCTCGATGTGCTGGTTTGCAGCTTTTCCAACAGTGATTTCTTCGGCACGTAATTTTGACGCCCTGTAAGCCTACACTGCGAAGCATTACCATTATTCCACCCACGAATCTCACAAAATCCCTTCTTACACGACGTTTTCCGAAATGCCCTCATACAAAAAATGTGGTAATTGCCAATATTAGTTTTCATGCCAACACCAAACACTACTTGGCGAAACAATTTTTTTCGTCAATATTTTCAAAAATGGTTGTTCTGACAATGCAGCAAAATGATAGTTCCACCGAACAAATCAAAGAATCCTACAACAAATGTACAACAAAATGATAATTTGACCAGTAATCTACTGGAACTCTATTTCTCCGATGAAGATGGAAAATACGGTTGCCCATGTTCGATTAGAGAATTTCAATAGGTTTTAGGCCGACTGCACTAATGATCAACTCCCCAAGCTCACGGACATTGTGGAACTGTGCATTGTTCTCATGGATTATATCCTCATGAAGCCCCTCACATCCTCGATTGGTTTAAGTCGGGGCTATTCGCTGGCCAGGGCAGAAGAGCGGTTTGGTGACGACTGAACCACGCTCAAGTGCTTCGGCCGACATGAATTGGTGCGTTTTCTTGCATGAACGGGACTTTCTTGCTGATTTCTACGCCAGAAAGCAAGGAAACCCCGTCGCATGGCGTTTATGTAAACGGCAGAAATCATTTTTTTTTTCAGACGGAGCACAGTTTCAGATGTTCGACTGATGCGATAGCAGCCCAAACTGCGAGACCACATCTACTGAAGTTCCGCCCAGAAAAATTGATCTTGTCTTCTCTCAGGTCGCGCCAGCGGAATCGGTTTTCGTCTGATCCGTCGCCGTTGAATTTTCTCATCAGAAAACACGACGGCGAGGAAAAAAAACTGGAAAACACTACAGACAAGCAATAGGGCACCGCAGCCAAGAGCTAACCTCACTCCAATCGGTTCGAGTATCTTCGAGCAAAGCCAATTAGGTTTTTGCGATCGTTTTCTGTTAAAAACACTGCCTAACTCATATTCCTCCTATGGGTGAACTCAGGAATTTTTCAAGAGACACCTAACAGTATCCTTCGGAACATTAGCCTTCGAAGATGACTTAGTTTCCAGACACGACACTGCAGAGTTGGATGCTTTCCTCAGGATACGGCACTTATTATTCCGATTGGGCAGCGAAGGAGGATGTCTAGAGCTTTTCTCGACTCAGATCCTGTAGGCAGCATCCAGACTTTACGACCGGCGTTTCGGCCGCGCGTTCAGGCGATAGATCGCGCCCGCGATCGATCGCGTGGCTGGTGGCAGCGGCCGGCTCTGTGACGCGACCGATTCGAGCTTACTGCACGGAATGGAGATGTCTTGTTCTCGTCGCAAAGGCAAGATGATATCAGTCGCCTGTCGTCCAGCGTTTCGCAACCAGCAGTGAAAGTATTTAGGCTGCTGCCACCTGGCAGCGGACGGAATGGTGTCGCTTTAAGTCACGTTAAGAGCTGGTCAGCCCCTGGGAGGAGAGCGGAATCGTCCTATGATGTTGCTAGCAACATCTATGATGTTGCTAGCAACATGCACGGTAAGTAACGGTACAAGTGTCTGGGGCTGACGGACCCGCAGCGGTGGAAGCTCAGGTTTCTCGTCCGAACATGCGCGGGGATGGGAATCCCAGGACCGTGGGATGGGGTAATTCCTTTTATTCCATTTATTTTTCATACGCGCCTAAACTGCTTGCGGCGCGAACATGCAGCACCGCTGGCATATCCCAATCCCGTCTATAATCTATCGGCCGTATGCGTGACGCGTGTCGCGCGCGCGGCGCTCCTGGCACTATGCCAAGTTTCGTAGTTTGCGCTTTCGAATAGATTAAAACGCAAACTCCTGATGCGGATGGCAACTGGGGTTGTCCATGCTGTAAACTCTAGGTCAGATGATGACGAGTGCTATACTTGGATATTGTTTTTGCAATCTTCCTCGAAAGTCGCGCATTCCCACCAAACACGAGACTAAGGCAGCGCTCAGACTCCGCGATCGCGTCGCTAGGCGGCGCGATCGATCGCGCCGCTAGTGGTAGCGACCGGTTGTGTAGTGCGACTGATTCGATCGCGCTCCAATGCAAAAATCAACCGGACGGATTAAATTACATCCATTTTCGGTCACTTTTTGCTTCTTTTTCCTCCCGCTTGCTTCTCGCTTGTTGCTTCCTCCTCCTGACACTATTATTTCTAATCTGTTTCTGTTGTCTGTCAGTTATTATGCTTTTTACCCTTGACATAGTGAGATTTTTCAGATGCATCGAAATTTTTTGGATGGACGCCCGTTCTGCGCGCAACTTTTCTTGTTTTCGAAGTGGGTTTTTCAGGTCCCTGCAGTTTTGGTATCTTTTTGATACTCATCAATCATATTGTGTTCAGCTTGGTCGGTAGTTTAGCAGTTCAGTAGAAACCTTCACCTGCACGGTAAGTAGTTTCTCTTTGCACCTATTTTCTAATGGTGTTGTGTCTTAGTTATGATTAAATTACATGTGAAGGTTTCTACTGAACTGCTGAACTGGCGACCAAGCTAAACACAATATGATTGATGAGAATCAAAAAAAGCCGAAACTGCAGGGAACCTGAGAAACTGACCTCGAAAACAAGAAAAGCTAGCGCGCAGAACGGGGCGTCCATACCAAAAATTTCAATGCATCTAGAAAAATCTACACTATAGTTAAAGGAATAAAAAGCAATAGCAACTGAACAAACATTAAAAACAGATTAGAAATAATAGTGCCAGGAGGAGGAAGAAACAAGCGAGAAGAAGCAAAAAGTAACCGAAAATGGCTGTAAATTAGCATCCGTTCGGTTGATTTTTGCATTGGAGCGCGATCGAATCAGTCGCGCCACAGAACCGGCCACTACCACTAGCGACACGATCGATCGGGTGCGATCGCGAAGTCTGAACACTGCCGTAAGTTCTTTGTCCAGATTGTTGATAGCGTGATGAGTGCGGCCCGAATCCCGCGCGATTCGACGGTTTGACAGTTTCTTAGCCTTTTTTGCGACAATCTGTTCTCTTTTTAGGTGCAACAATGAACTTCCACTTGCCACAGCCTGGAATAGGCAAGAAGTCATAATGATGAGGGGTTTTACCTAACAAAAATGTGATGCAGCGGGAAAATATGCAGTGGAACTATCAGTTTGCTGCATCGTCAGAAAGACCATTTTTCAAAAAAACTGACGAAAAAAAGGTTCCTTCAAATCAGTGTTTATATTTGCCTGTGGATTGGTATTGTTAAGTGTCACATTGTTTGGGGCATTTTTGAAAACGTTGCGTGAGATGGGATTTCGTGAGATTCACGGGTGGAACAATGATTATGCTTCGCAGTGTATGTTGGGAAAGAAAGGTGTTTTATGGTGAACATTCGAAATCGAACCACTTTCCTAATGCATAAATATACTATTTCCAGGTACAATGATCCCAATCGTTCTCAATCGAAACGTGAATGTTTTCTAATACGATCATAGTCGTCATCGGAATGAATCTGTTGAAACTTAGAAGGGGACGGCTTCAACTTTTCATGGAACTTCGAATGGAGCCCAAGCGCCTTGAAGTTGCCGGCACCTGGCACTTTTTAGGCTTTTGTCGTCTGTACGGAAGCAACTGGTCTTCGCATCAACATTTGTCATAGTCGGATAGATAGTGAAAGTCGTAAGGGTGAGGTAGTGACCAATTCTATAGTTGATCTACCACGTCATATAATTGACCTACTTATTCTTCTGGGTGGTTAACTCGGAGAACTGTCATAGACTGCAGGAGAAGCAACCAGCATTCGAGGCTCTATCGATGAACCTGGGTCTCCATTCAGAGTTCCAGTGAAGTTGGAGCGATTCCCTTGTTGGTACAGAGCAACGGAGAGAGTAGTTTTTTTGAGAGAATTTTCCTGTCAACTCATTGGGAGCCGCTTGTCTCGGTAAATACTGACCAAATGAGCGCCTGTGAGAGTGATAGAAATTTTTCGATAAAATAACCTGAAGCCTAGGATTGAGTTCAAGGAAGAAGTATTTGTCTTCGTCTGGAAGGTACATGTATTCCACAGTACCAGCTGATTCATAGCCAACCAGTTTCGCAATCCTAACCGCATCCTACAAGAAAATGAACGAGGAGTAGCACAAAACCGACATTGTGAAATAAGGAAAAGAAAATATCAACATGGAAACTCTTTTGGAGTAATTACTTCTTGCATTTTTCTAAGAGTTTCCTTCGGAGCGATACTTGCTGGAGCCTCTTCAATAATCTTCTGACATCTTCGCTGAATAGAACAGTCCCGAGTGAATACCGGGATAACGTTCTCGTATCTTAAAAGAGTATTAATACGAAAAAAATTCGCTCCAATTTGTCATCGAACTGATACTTCGTCCCCCTTACTTCACTATTATAACAGCAAATGAAACTCCAAATATTAGACATTGTAAATTAGGTCAAAAATAACCACCTGTCAGCTATGAGTTGCACTTCAATATGCCTAGCATTTTCAACACATTTCATGATGAAGATAGGCGATCCTGGCACTTCGGTCTGCACTTGAACAAAATTCTCTTTGAAATCCGCTTCATTCTTGCATTTCCTTATGCCTTTTCCACCACCGCCTTCGGAAGCCTTGATCTATGAATAAAAAAACCGTAGATGCATAATATAATCCTCTTCCTCATTGCACCTACCACCTGACCGTTTTTGAAGAACAATGCCTCTCTCTTAATCTAAGAGTAGTTTCACTTTTCTACTTGATACCGTTTCATTTTCCAAGCAAACAACATTTGTATTTCAAAAAAATTAGGCGGCGCGTGCTTCATAACGACTATTTTCAATGTCTTCAGGGCTGGTTTCAGTTACTATTTTTGAATTTCAGAGAAATTTTCGACACTCTTCTCCATTGTCAAAATAATTTACCGTTTCAGCGACATAAAAAACGTGGAGACCTGAACACAGAGAGGATAATCGTAAATATCATCCTATATATAATTCACTTTGTTAATTTGCTTGTGATTTGGCGTACCACAAATATCAGTCCGTATAATTATATCAGGCTTTCGATCTGTGTTGCTTAATTTGTTTGTAAGTTTGCGTTTGCGACTGCCGCCAGGCCTGCTTCAACGAAATTTCGCTTCGACGTGAGGAAGAACGACATCGTAAAAAGCAACTTGACCTATGCGAAGCCCCGCACACAGTGGGCGGGGCACTCGCCGAAAGTTTGGCATTCCGCACAGAAATGTACATAATTCAGCTTCAATGTACATAATTCATACAGCTCAAGGTGGGGAAAAAGTGGAATGATGTTAGCAAGGAGTTGTCAGACTTAATGTGGGAGACAATCCAAAATGGGCGGGGCGTACTCAAGGTGGGCGGCGCTTCTCACAAAACGCAGGTTCGCAAAAGCGTCTAGAAGTCGCAAAAAACTACATGCAGAACGCAAAAATCTAGCGAGTGTTGGGCACACTCAAAGTGTGTTGAGACCCGCCCACAGTGGGCGGAGCTTGCCCCTAATCGCAGGATACTCATTTTAAAGGTTTGTAGCTCAGTTCCAGAACACTCCAGATACCGGAAAAAAGTGGATTAAGTTGAACAGAGGGTCGTCGGTTAAGACTGTGGGGCAAAAAAATTGTGGGCGGAGCCTGCCCCGGGGTGGGCGCAGCTGGACAAAAAGGTCTCTAAAACTGTCCCGGAGCACTTCAAAGACCGGAACAAATTGAGTTGGTGCCTATTGAGAGATGTGGGGCATAAATGTTGTGGATGGGGCCAGCCCGAGGTGGGCGAAGCCCGACAAAAAAATCTGCAAAACGGTTTCAGTGGTCCAACACCGTCAACATGCAAACGGAGATATGCAGGACCTCAATTGTTGCATATACGGCAAAAGTTGAGTGTGTCTGTGGTGTGTTGTAACCCGCTCCCAGTCGGCGGAGCGCACGACGCATTTATTCGTACTGAGCTTTAGCGCGTATTCTGCCATACTCTTAACCACCGGTCGTCATAGGTATTAGATTCCTGTCGGCGCGGCGGCCGACGCCAGCGCTCTTCCTCCTGTGATACGGCCCAAGTTGGCCGGAAGCTTCGCCACACATCCCTTCTCCAGCTATTCTCTCCCCTGTGCCCATGATCTACGCACTTTAGTACCACTCCATACTCAGTGCTAGTCAAAATAGCAGGGATGATGTATTTGTCGAGAAGCTTTAACTATAAGTACAGAACAAAAGCATGATATCAGTTAAAGACACATGGTACTCTCAAACACAATGGGGTGTATGAGACTATCAGCCCCCAGCTGTCGATGTGTCCTGGTCCTCCCCGCGCCCAAAACTGCACGGGGTCAGAACGGGACCGTGGGAAAGTCGTAATTCCTTGCTACGCCGCCCGTCTTTGCAAACTCACGTTTTTACTAACACCGTCAGCGCGGCGCGGTCGCGTGCAGCTCTGTTGGGCTTTGGAATACAAGTACAACGCAATTTCTTTATGCGGATAACATTCTAGGTTCTGCAAAATAAGAACTGAAGATGATGACGAGGGCTAGAACTCAAGAGCAACTGGCTGCTTCTGCAACAGCCCTCGCAGGCCGCGCATTCCCACAAAACATCAAAATAAAAACGGCCTAAGCGTCCCACTCGTTAGTTTGAAGTATTTCTATAGCATTAGAGCCGGATTCGAGCCGGATCGCAGAAATACACACGCGATTTTAATTTATTGCGTTTAATTAGTTTTTTTTTCAATTTTGTTTTTTTTACATCTACATCCGTTGTTGTTCATTTCTAGCCTTTGTCATCTTCATCACCTTCAATTCGGACTTTGAAGCATGAGCAATACCTCACATGCTAGGAAATTGCGTTTTGCTTGTATTGCAATGTTTTATTGTCTATGTTGGCCGTTTTTATTGTCATGTTTTGTGGGATTGCGCGGCCTCTGAGGGATATTGCGG